GGGGGTTACCAGCATAGTCCTTTAGAGGCTATTTCCTCAGTTCCCTCTTAACAACTCGTAAGATGTGCAGACCATAGGTGTATGGCTTAAGTTGAGGTAGACCGTACAAAACATTTCTAAATCTCACCCCCACGCAATGAACCCTTAAATGTGAGTTCTCAAGATGATTGTACCTTGAATCGTTTTTGTTTATAAGGACCCCAAAAGGGCCCCTACTTTAGAGAGATCACCAGATGTCAAGATCATGTTTCCAGCAGGAGCGGCAGGGCACCACAGTCTCGGATATGGTGAATGCCTTCGGTGAGGCCTGGTCCATCCTGGAACCTCCAGCTCCCATGGTTTTCCATACCGTGTACCGAATCATAGATTATATCTACCTATAGGGCCCTAAAGCTACTACCTCGGACGTAGGAACACCTTTCAGGGCCCAGTGTCTTCTATAGAGGCATATGGTCTTTGTGGATATGGGACTGCAAACCGAAGGCCCGAGAACGTAAGCCTCACCTCTCCCCCACCCCCCCTACCCCCAAAGACTCAGACCGTAAACCAACAGCTCAATAAGTAGGACCCAGAGTAGGCCCTGATTCACATTTTGAAGGGTTGAGGTTCCTGTAGAATCCCCTTTGAGGTGAGGTTCCCTTATAATCTCCTTTAAACCAAAAAGGGCACCCCTTGATACGCAGATAACTCAAAGCCCGGCTCTCGCAGAGCATGGCGCTGCGTCGGTGTCTATCTTAGGGCCTGGAGGCATTTTGTTCCTACGATTGGTTTGAGGAAGATCTTACCGACCTAGGGTTATAAGGTTCACTTTATTCAAAGGCAAAGCTAGGTATGATCTTGGGCTGTTACCTTCTTTGGGCTTAAGAGGATTGCGGCGGCCCTACACGCAAAACCATAAGGCTTACGGGGTTCAAGGGCTTCTGCACCCCAAACCCGAACCCTAAACCCTAAACCCCAAACCCTAAACCCTAAACCCTAAACCCTATGAGCGGTTAAAAAGGCCTTAAGCCCTATCAGGCGGTGCCCATCATCCGCAACTGGGCACCGGATCAAGCGTCCTTCGTGGTCACCCAGTGGCGCCTAGGCAGGATCTTCTTCTCGGACCCTTTCAGTTTCTGAAGGTAAAGGTTTATAGGGTTTCTAAGGGTTTTTTTTGTGGGCCTTTACTATGGTCCCATACCTCCTTGAAAGGGTTCTGATGTTTCGGCACTTGGGATGTATAGGGTATGTAACCCTAAACTCCTAGACAATCAAGCCAAATGATTGTGTCCAGTAGGGTCCTAGTAACCGAATGAAGAAGGTCCCCGGAAGTTTTGGGTTAGACTCTAGACCCTGTATGTAGACCCTAGTTTGGGGCGCCTCCCCCCCTCCTTAAACAAATTTTCCAAAACGTCAAGCCATACGCCCTAACATCCCACAATCCCAAACCCTATAGCCCTGAACTCATTAAACCTTAAACCTTCCACCGTTTATGGGGTTTAGGGTTTAGAGTTTGGGGAGTATATTTGCAAAAGGGAGAACTTGGGCCTGTATGGATTGACAATAATAATCCGCTTTAGGGCTCAAGTACATACGTTGGGGGGGCACACCCCCCTGTGACCCTAAACCCTAAGCCCTAAGATTTCAGGGATTCAGGGTTGTAGGGTTTTGGATTTTAGGGTTTTCGGATATAGCCGATGGTCACTTCTGAAACTTGTGGTGGCTTTTTGGGGGTTGCTATCATCACGCATCGACTTGTAGGGTACCGAAAAAGGAGCGAGAATTTTGAGATCTACTACCCAGAAAAGGCAGGGTTCATATTGCTGGTTTGTGGTGAGTGTATTTAGGAGTCCTAACTATTGGTGAGTGTATATATGGCATGTCCTTTTCAAGGATATAAGCAATAAGAACCTAAACTCAAGGGATGAAGACTTGTACCCCTAAGGTTGTACCCCCTATGAACTCCTAGCATGACCCTTTTCCCAAAAGGACCTTGAAAAAGGGTCCCCCAAACCCCAAGGTACAACCTCAAGGGTCCAAGGCTAAACCCTAAACCCTAAACCCTAAACCCTAAACCCTAAACCCTAAACCGCACATGGACCCTTCGGGAGACGCAACAGCTGAGGAACGTGGCACGCTGTTTCTGGCGGTTTGGCTCGGTGTCGGTCCCGAAGAAGGACTTTTTTTTTTTGTTTGGGGGGGGGGGGGGGGGGTTAGGGTTGTTTGTTTTTTGTAGGGTTTTTGGGTTTTAGGGTTTTAGGTTTTTGTTTCAGGGTTTTAGGGTTTGTCGGTGTTACAGGTTTAGGGTTTAAGGTTTAGGGCGGGGTTAATTTCGAATGAAATCCCCCAAGCAGTGCGCCAACACTGCTTGGGGTTCTTGGTTTCAGGGTCACGGAGGGTCAGATTGAGTCGCGCGGTTCGAGGAGTTTTTCGTGGCCTGCATATCTACGCGTCCCGAAAACGTGGCTGTCGCGAAGTGCGAAAGTGTCGTCGCTTGTGGACGTCTGGGTGCGAAGCTGTCGTTGCTTGTGCTTGGAGGTTCATGGTACTTGTTAGCCAAGTATAACTGTACGTATACCTGTTACAAGTACAGTTATAATTGATTCATACGTACCATGAACCTCCAAGTGGGTGTCGTCGCATCTCGGGACGTTGGAAATTGCGCTCCCACCTGGGCGCTGCGCGGATCGACCTCCCGAGCTGTGGGGCCTCGCAAGTCGACTTTTTGTAATCCCCTCCCCCTAATATTAAACCCCCCCTACCCCCTAATATTAAACCCCCAATATAACAACAATATAACTACAATGGGGCGTATTTAATATTAGCGGGTTTTGGGGGGGAGGTTAACATTAGGGGGAGGGGTTTATTACTGGGCTACCAAGCAGGTACTACGCTGAGGACAAAGTCGTTCTTCCATGACGCCTGAAGCGCTTGGTGTCCCCATGCGGTCTCTCACTGGTTGGGGTCGCTGGTAACCTATAATATGGCCCCGCCCACTCCCTGTGTGTGGGTTCAGGGTTTAGGTTTCAGGGAAGAAGGTTTAGGGTGTTAAGGACTGTTAGTAGAAGGAGGAACATCCCAACCTAAACACCCTAAACGCCCTAAACGCCCTAAACCCTAAACCACCCCCACCCGACCCCTTGAAGGACCAACCAGATGGAGATCCAGCGTGGAAGGACCAGAGCTCGGATACTCATCAGAACATCTTCAGGCTGCCGAACTGCACGACGCGCGGCGCATGACTGGCAGGGTTTGGGGTTTAGGCTTTAGGCGGTTTAGGCGAAGGGTTTAGGGTTTAGGGTTTAGGGTTTAGGGTTTAGGGTTTAGGGTTTAGGGTTTAGGGCTTGTTTATTGGGTTGCTGGTAGTAAGCCCCTTGGCCCGGAACCCTGAACGCCGCACACCAAATCCCTCAGAACTTATGAAAAACATAGCCTCAGCAGATGCCCGTGCAAGCAAACTCCTTTCGCCACGCCAAGGATCGATATGAGCTACTACGACACGACGACCACACGGAATTCTTACCAAGCGTCTTAGACGCCCTCAAATCCCACCGCCAGTTCAACGCAAGGATTCAGGGTTTGGGGTATCGGTGGGTTCAAGAGGATCTTACATCCGAATAGGTTTTAGAACCCCAGATCCAAAACCCTGAGCCCTAGACCCTAACCCCTCAACCCTGAACCCTAAAGTGCCGCGCAACCCAGGTGTCCGCCTCCTGCGCTCTCACTGCCTGGTGGATGTCGGCGCTGCTGCTGCTAGCGAAGTTGCTGTAAGATGTTTCGGCGACCCTCACGTGACGTGTGCGGGGTGCAGGGTCACAGATGTCCCTCTAAACTCAACCCTCAACCCTAAACCCTAAACCCTTTCATTGGTCTAGGAAGCGACTATCCAGCTCCCTAGACTCGCCAAAGTCCCCCCAAAAATGCATCTACAGGTTCAGGGTTTAGGGTTCAGAGTTTGGGGTTCAGAGTGTAGGCTGTAGAGTTTAGGGTTTGAGACTTCAGGGTTTGGAATTGAGGATATACTTTGTAGTGCTTTACTGTAACTTTACATCCTTTGTTTTTTTTGGTTTATTGGGTTTCTTAATATGGCAGCTAAAATTTAATTTTTAGCTACCCTTCTGAGTGCAGCCAAGATATAGAGCTGAGAGTTTAAGGTTTAGGGGCTTGGACATTAGAAGGTCCAGGGCCGGTCCTCTCCGTCGTGGGGTGCGCCCAGCCTGAGTGTTTGTCCAGGCTTCTGCCGCACCTGTAGATTAAAGACGGCCCTCTGCTTCAAAAAGGCGATTTAGGGTTCAGGCAAAACAGGGCTCAGGTTGAGGGGTTTTAGGGTTTAGGGTTATAGGGTGTCGGGTTTTTATCTCTAGTGTTTAGCGTTCTTCGGGTTTATAGGAATCGGGGTTAAAGGTAGACCATCTGCATCTCGAGAAAAACCGGCGCTAGGTCTGAGGCATAATGGTCTGACATGATGTGATGGGATATGAGATGACTGTGCTTAAATTACATATAGATCGCATAATTATCATATATCAGGCAATATTTTTGATACACCCCACGACGCCCTAACCGAACCCTGAAGTAATCGGCAAAAGATGGAGCAGGTTTATGGGGTTTCGGTTGTAGGTGTTGTGTGGGGGGCGGGGGGGGGGGGGGGGGGGGGGGGGGGGGGGGGGGGGGGGGGGGGGCGCAGAGCACCCTGTGCAGGTCATTCGGCTTAGCGTACCTACGGGATGGTCATGCATAGCCCACTGCACTGCAGACACAAGCAGGAAATAGTAGATAATCAATGAACAAGTAGTCTACATGTATTCTTCCAACTGTCTACACAGACACTGAAGACACAATAGTGGATGATTAATCGATTACTCGTCATACATATACACGGTGCGTATACATGTGTATATATATATATATGGGTATACATGTGTATATTGTAATCTCGAGGCTTCCGGATCAAGCATCAGAGCAAACAGTCGCCTCTTGATGAACACTCGGCTCCCCCTCTGTTGGAGCTCAGAGATTCGATGGCCAAGACACCGTCACACCCAGTGACACTGGTCTCGCTGGCTGAGCACTGCAACATGTGGACTTGGGTCGGTGCGGCAGGGACTCTCTTCGTAGTCACCTCCCTGTGGCAGGGCCATCGATCGGGAGCGTTGAAGCCCAGTGGCCCAAGCTGGCTTTTAGCCATCACATGCCTGGTGGCTTGGTAACCCAGTGGTACCCTTGTTTTTTTGGTTCAAGGTTCCCTTATCAAGTAACCAACCCCCAAAAACGGGTGCCCCTGTTGTAATATGGTTACTGGGATACCAAGGTGGGCATGCTTGTGCTTGTCAAGGGAGAGGCCGACAACATCCGGTCGATCTCAGGAATGGCGATCCCGGATGTGACATTCCCGTACGACCGCGACTACGTGCTGAAGTTTGCCGAGGCCATCGGAAAGGACGGGCGCTCGCGCTACGCCACGTTTCAGCTGGGGCTCGACACGCTTGCCCCGCCACTATATCCCCCCTGGTCATGATTTTTTAGTTTTCGTTTAGATAATTTAGGCCCAAGAGGATATTAAAAATAAATATTCTTGTTGTTAAGGTTCTAAGGGGAGTATAGGCCAGCCTTCACGTTTTTCACGGGCTTGGCTCTGAACTCCGCGCGGCTGCCAAGCGCCGTCCGCCTTCTGGCGCTGGCGCCGCTCCTTGGGTACTTTACTTCGGTGCTGCTGGCCAACGCCCTCATGCCAGTGGCCTAGCTTGCTTGGCTTTTGGGAAATCCTGTATTTTCCTTACTAAGGCTTATAAGGGGTCCTAGAAATAAATATTTTTCAAAGGAAAGGCCAACCCAGCTAGGTAAAGCCTTGGCATGCGTTGTGTTTTGTGTTGGAGTTTAAGTAGAAGATGTGGAACTTCTTCACGATCTTTCGCTTCGAGATATTCAGTTAGAGCGTTTAAACGGCCAGCCTGGACTGGGAGGGCAGTTGGGATATTTCGCATTTTCCCTTGTTGGGTTAAGAGGGCCAGATTTGGAAGATTCTTCAGAGGGTTTTGAGGGCCATCCTAGAAACCCTGAACGAAACCCTGAACCCTAAACCCTAAACCCTAAACCCGAAACCCTAAACCGGGCCATCCTAGTGGAGGTCGTCATGCTCTCCTACCCTGCCTTGGATGCCCAGCCTGGCGCGGAGCTCCTCCTCATTCTTGTACCCTTGAGGTGCTTAGAGTTTGGGGTTTAGGGTTTAGGGTTTAGGGCTTAGGGCTTAGGGCTTAGGGCTTAGGGCTTAGGGGATGGGATGTTCCCCTAAATTATACTAGCAGTCCTTAATAGGGATTCTATAGTACCCTTGGTTATAATCCCGCTATGAAGGGCTCTGAGTATAAGGGGGAACATCCCAACTTATAGCACCTTCGACTTAAAGTCTGTAAGCCCTGTAAACCCTATGGCAACCCTATTAATCGGCCTGAGCCCTAAATATCCTATAAAGACCCATGCCGCAAGGTACCCAGGTAGGCCTTGGGACTTTTTATATTTCCCTATATTAGGTCTAAGAGGATATCATACTCAGGAGCACAACCCATCCGAGGTACCGTGGCTGGACTTCTTGAAGTATTCCCTCCATGGCGCCGTGTGGGTCGTGATCCTTGCGGCGCTGGTCGTCAAAGCCATCTCCGCTGTCGTCAGGAAACCCTCAAAGGAACTGCAGCAGAAGCGGGACTGAGCTACGGTTTGGGGGTTTAGGGTTTAGGGTTTAGGGTTTAGGGCAGGTTTCCGGATTGCATGGCAGCAAACGACATGCTGACTCACTGACTCGTCAGCAAGCGGACAGCACTTTGCGCGGAACGTTGATGACTTTCGCCGCCACCAAGGGAGGAACTTATTGGTAGGGTGTAGGGTGTAGAGTGAAGGGTTTAGGGTTTAGGGTTTACGGTTTAGGGTTTAGGGTTTAGGGTTTAGGGTTTAGGGTGCCTACATCTGCCTCTGGCCTCCTGTGCCCTGAGAAAGAACGAACTGGAGGCGATGAATGGGTGATGACGGGTGAGTTTCTGCATGCCCAGTACTACCCTTCATTCCCTTTTTTGGGGGATTTTAGGTTCCCTTATGAACCCCTTTAAGCCAAAAAAGGGGCGACCTTTCTAATCCTAGGCAAGTGCGCAGCCGAGATTCATGTTAAGGTTTTGGTGAGTGTACATAGGGCTCCTTGTTGTGCCATGTGTGGGGTGTCCTTTTTGGAAATACGAAGCAATAACAGCCAACCAACCTAAGAGAACTACGGCGCAGGTCTCAGGTTTTCTGGCATTTCGGGCGAAGCCCTCAGCCCCAAACCCCGAAACTCCACACCCTAAACCCTAAACCCTAAACCCTAAACCCTAAACCCTAAACCCTAAACCCCACCATGGGCTTGGATCATGTACGGGTCAGCGGAAGGACGAGCTCGGGAATGTGGCCATCAAGGACGTCATGAGGCCAGCAGAGGTTTAGGGTTCAGGGTTGAGGGTTTAGGGTTTTGGGCTTAGGGTTTAGGGTTTTGGGTTGGCATTCCAAAGGCCCAAAGACCTTGAACCTGAGACTTTGCTTAATTCTTCGGGGGTAAAGTGGCTCTTGCATAGGGTTCACGGTCATCCGCAGATTATGGGCTTTCAGCATTCCAGGCATTTCGAGTTGCGGTTGCCCCTCAAGGACGTGCTCGCCCACCATAAACGCCGCAGAACGACCGAGACCCGAATTCAGCTGGACCTTGATGTGGACCGTTAGAATATGTTCCGTTATCTTGAGAGCCTGAAGAAGGGACCATAAGAGAAATCCTACACCCGGGCACCCCTAAGCACCTAGGCCCCCGAAACCAGTAAATCCTGAACCTGAACCCTCAAAACCAAAACAGCAACAATTACGCCCTACAAGCCCTAAAACCTAGATCAGTTCTATAAGTAACGATACGCCCTACAAGCCCTAAGTCCTAGATAATTGCTACACATGATGTGGGAGGCTCTTTCGAGATCTGAACCTCTCGCCTCGCAGCCGTCAGGCCCGGAGTTTTCGTGTCCTGTTTTTGGGTTTAGGTTAGGATTTAGGATTTAGGGTTTAGGGTTTAGGGTTAGGGTTTAGGGTTTAGGGTATTCTGTGCGGTTTAGGGTTTAGGGTTTAGGGTTTAGGGTTTAGGGTTTAGGGGTTGTTTTGTTGTTCATGTGGGTTTCAGCTCTGAGGCTGCTAAGGGCTAGGGCTTAGGGTTCTAGGGCTAGGGTTTAGGGTTTAGGGTTTAGGGTTTAGGGTTCAGGTTTAGGGTTCAGGGTTCAGATTCAGGGTTTAGGATTCAAGGTTTAGGGTTTGGGTTGAGGCGCCAACGTGGCAGGAGATTCAGGCCAAGTGGCTGGACACATCTTCGACCGCCTGAAGGCGGCATCAAGCCAAGCGAAAGGCAATCAAGAAAGTGGAGGCCGTCAGAGGGTGTCCGAGAACGACGTAGCGCCCTCGTCGTCTTCCACTCGGCCCGGGCTCACGTAGATCGGCTCTGTCACGTGCACGTGGCCTAAACCGCCGAGGCTACGCAGATCTGAGCGCTGAGTCAGCATCAGGGTGTCGTTGGATTCAGCAGATGGACCATAAGGTTTTAAGGTTTCAGGGTCGGGTGGGGCTGGTGCCGCGAAGTGACGAACTCTAAACCCTGAACCATAAACTCTAAACCCAAAACCCTAAACCCTAAACCCTAAACCCTAAAGCAGGCCGGTGAGGATGACATCAGCCCTTCACTTCGTACGGCTTCGGGTACTGGGAACCCTGAACTCTAAATGGGGGTTTCCGAAAAACGGGGTACCCTTTTTGGGGGGTTCCTTTTTTAATAAGGATCATATACTTTTTGGGGGCTTCCTTCAACAGGATTATATACTATTTGGGGGTTCCTATAACAGCCCCTGTTTCAGGAAACACCCTAAACCCTCAACCTAAACCCTAAACCCTAAACCCTAAACCCTAAACCCTAAACCCTAAACCCTAAACCCTAAACCCTAAACCCTAAACCCTAAACCCTAAACCCTAAACCCAAATCTTAGAACAATGGGGGGCCTCCCCGTCAAGGATGCCCTATGGCCTCCCAAGGCTCCAAGATCTTCCCCGGGTTTAGGTTGGTTTAGGGTTAAGGGTAAGGGTTTAGGGTTTAGGGTTTAGGGTTTAGGGTTTCGGTGCTTAGAACTTCGGGCTTTATAACTAAACCCTAAGAGCCCCAAAGCTTGAAAGCCCTCTCAACTCTAAACCCGTCTGTGAGGCCCAAATCCTCAGACAAACCCTAGACCTAAACAGTACAAGCCTGCAGCACATCAGCCCTATACGGCTGACCTCAGGACCTTTTTCGTCCCTAAACCCTTTAGGGTTTATGGGTTTAGGAGTTTGTAGAATAGACAGGAGCAGCTGGAAATCAAGCAGGTCCTGAACGAGGCAGTGAAACTGGGGCCTTCTGTTCGACCCTGGTTCCTTCGACTCAGTTCAGGGACGGCGTCGGCGTGAAGGGCTTGGGGTTGCATACAGGGTTGAGGGGAGGGGGGTAGGGTTTAGGGTTTAGGGTTTAGGGTTTAGGGTTTAGGGTTTAGGGTTTGGGGTTTGGGGTTTAGGCGGTTTAGGGTTCAGGGTTCAGAGTTGCAACTGTACTGACGTCATTGCGGCTCTGGGTTACAGTCCGTGGGCTTAGGCCTTTACAGCTTGGGCTTCTGGCGAGAGGGGGTACAGTACACGATAGCGAGACAGATTTCAAGGGACACTCTAAACGCGCAACCCTGAACTAAGCCCCACCCCGTGTCAAACAGCCTTAATGCAGGCGTTGCACGTCGCAGCTGAAAAGCGGCTGCTTGAGTTGTGCTGTGCCTTCTGACCCTAAGCCCTACTATAGGACCCGGAGTAGGCCATTATTTCCTTTTTTTAGGGTAGGAGCTCCCTTACAATCCCCTTAAAACCAAAAGGGTACCCTTTTCATTCCTAGGTTACTCCTGGGTCTAGCCTAGTCCCTGAGCCCAAACCCTTTATGAGGAACGAATATTCTTTTTCGCTCTCTCGCTCGCCCTTTCTCTCAATTTCTTGGGGTCGCCTTAGGATAATTTCAATTTTGGGGTACTACAATTCTTGAGAAACAGCAAAGACTACAATTCTTGCTAGGGCTCGAAATTCAGAATACTGTCGGGGTTTCTACTATCATACGGAAGGGTTCCGAGGGTGGCATTGCGAGTTCCCAAGAAGCGAGCACAGTTCAGACAAGCCAGTCACAAATGGGAGTTTGCGAACATCAGGGACTCCTAAGTAGGCCCTTATTTCCCTTCTTTTGGGGTTCCCTTAGATCCCCCCTTAAGAACCAAAAAGGCTGCCCTTTCCATTTCTAGGTAACTCCTGGGTCTAGTATAATTGATACCCCAACAATTACCCCGATGTCGGAAACCCCCTAAATGGGTCTGTGAATCGGCCTTCGAGGTGGTGACTTGGGCTTCGGGTTATTTCGGATTTTGGAGCACTGTGCTTTAATACTTGTTTTTGTTTGGTTCTGGGTTCCTAGTCTTGCTACTTGTACCTAAACGGTATAAATGTTTTCTAGGGTCTACTCCAAAGTAGGGTTTAGGGTTGAGGATTGAGGGTTCAGCGTGGCCATCACCCTGCCAGGGTATCTTATGAACCTCCGAAAGTGGCCTCTCCTTCACAAGTCTCACTCTTAGGGTTTTAGGGTTTAGGGTTTAGGGTTTGGGGTTTGGGGTTTAGGGTTTAGGGTTTAGGGTTTAGGGTTTAGGGTTTAGGGTTTAGGGTTTAGGGCTTGGGGTTTAGGGTTTAGGGTTTAGGGTTTTAGGGCTGCCAAAGTCAGCAGCGTGCTCGGCAAAGAGGCCTAAGCAACATGGCCAGGCCATGCTGAGCTTTGAACATCCCTAAGTTCCCCTGAGCCCCTGAGCGCCAAGCCCACCCCAAGCAAGCCCCCAAAACCCCAAAACCCTAAAGCCTCGATTTCCCAAACCCCAAAACCCAAAAACCGCTACAACCCCCCAACCCTAAACCCTACACCCTAAAACATTAATTCAAACCCTAAAACCCCACAACCCCAAAAAAACTCCTTATGCCCCCAGCAGCAGACTCTGAGACCTTGCAGGTGGACGAAGACGGGACGGGAACCCTGAGTTGGTCCAAGTTCACCTATGTGGCCGCCCAGCTGAGATGGGTTCAGGGTTTAGGGTTTAGGGTTTAGGGTATAGGGTTTAGGGTTTAGGGTTTAGGGTTTGGGATGCTTGGACTTGAGAGGCTGAACCTTAAACCCCAAACCCCAAACCCCTCAACCCCAACACCCAACTTTTCGACCATGCCTTCTTTCGATAAAATTCCCCTTGGGGAATTCAAGGGTTCGAAGGGGTTAGGGTTGAGGGCTCAGGGAGAACCCGAAGGGCTCAGCCCTAAAACACTCCAAGCCCCAAAACCCGAAACCTGAAACCCTAAACCCCAAACCCTAAACCTCAAGCCCTAAGGAAGGCTCTTGGGGTGGTGGTTGGGTTGTGAAGAACTCGGACGCCCAGTGGTACCCTCAAGGCATCTAGCAGAAGCTGTGGTGGCTCCATTAAGACAGCTTCTGCAGGTTCAGTATCCCCGACCCTAGACCCTAAACCCTAAACCCTAAACCCTAAACCCTAAACCCTAAACCCTAAACCCCCCCGCCGTGCCTTTTCGCGACATGCCGGTCCCGGCACTTACCATTGAGGTGAGACTGCT